AGGCGCAGCTGAAATTTTGAGGACATGTAGACAACTCCTTGAACTACAGTTTGGTGGTAGTCTGAGACCGTATACTAGCGTACAATTTTTTGTAGCTCTAAAAGAACATTTACATTTTTCAAAAAAGTGTGCCAATGTAAGGGCTGACGAAAATCAATAAATGTAACACCTATATGCATTATAATTATATAAATTATGACTCATTACAAAGCCAAAAGTTCGCGCTATCGTTTGGTACCCAAATTATATAGTTTTGTCAATCCAAAGCGCGAAGATGTTGACGTGAAGCAAGGCGACTGTTTCTGCGCTTGTTCGCCGAAGTTAAGCTTTTGAGAGTTGTCTGACTTTGTTGAACTTTTTCAACCTTTTTAAAAGTAAAGAGAATAAAAGCTTCCGTCGTTAAAGATGCTCTGATCATTTTTGAACACGATAGTGGCCAAATGAAAACATTTAAAAATAGTCGATATTTCGCGTCCTGGCCAGTTTTTGGGCAGAGTTAAAACACGGTGCGGTGGGACTGTCTCTGCCGACTGTCCCTACCCAATGAGTGGGACCGGTGGGACTGTCTCTGCCGAGTGTCCCTACCCCATGAGTGGGACCGGTGGGACTGTCTCTGCCGACTGTCCCTACCCCATGAGTGGGACCGGTGGGACTGTCTCTGCCGACTGTCCCTACCCTATATGTGAGTGTCCGTTTCTGCGGCGGCCGCTGAGCCCCCAACCCTGTCCTTCTCCTCTCCCCAGTCCGCTGTGCAGGGTCGCTCGAGGTCACGTGGTCAACTGGTTGTCTTCTCCAATGCACCTTGTATTCGTCGATCGACCTTACACACCACCGTGCAGTCACATGGCTACGACCCGACTCCCCTCCGTGCCGTCCGACGCGCCGGCATGGCCCCACAACTGGGACAAACGGCCGCCGGGGACGCTCCTATGTCCGATGTTCGTCTCCGTCCACACCGGAGAGGACAGGGCAGGCGGCGGCCGGCCGACGCTGCCCGCGGCGCCGAGGTGACAGCCTCAGACCTCGCTGCTCCCAGTACGCTACAGTGGTCAGGCCGGGCCGGCGGTGGCGTGCCATCGGCCGCCGGCCAGCCGGCCTCCCCGTGCTGACCACTCACTCACATACAGCACACACCCCTGTTTATCGAGAAACATACACAACATACGCTCTGAACTATGTAATCAGCAGTCACCAACGAATAACGATGGTCTTCCATAACTCAATGGTATCAAATGTCCCGCCCGCCCCCCTGATCATCCCCCGGTGCCGTCCCAGTGGTCGGTCGGGGCTCGACCGGTGGTCGGTCGGCAGACAGACCGACCGGTCACCGCCAGGTCACGGCCGGCCCACTGACAAGCACGCCGTGCCGCCGCCGGGGCCGTGGCCGTGCTCCAGCCGTGCCCTGACCGGGCTCACCGGCTCTGACCCACCGGCCTCAGAGATCTGACACCAACTACCGGCTGGACGAGCCGCCGAGCGGCCTGCCGACCGACCGCTCCCGTATGGCAGCGGGCCGCCGCCAGCTGCACCACCAGACACCGACAACAAGCACCGACACACTGTCACAGCACATCCAGCAGCCGGCTTGTCTCGCTGTCAACCACGGGCACTCGCCGGTCCATCAACGCACTCACAAAACCAACTAATCACCCCCGCCTGTCCATCAACACACTGACAAAATCAACTAATCACCCTCGTCTGTCCATCAACACACTCACAAAATCAACTAATCACCCTCGCCTGCCCATCAATGCACTCACAAAATCAACTAATTATCCTCGCCTGCCCATCAATGCACTCACAAAAATCAACTTATCATCCTCTCCTGTCCAACGCACTTACAAAATCAAACGGTCAACTCTCGTCAAATGCACACAAAATAATACCGAGCTCACAACCATTCCCGTATTTATCGGAAAATCCCACCACAGCAGTCACCCCCGTTTCCGTCGTGTGGCCTTTCCGTTGCAGTGCGGGACGATTGTCAGCCCCCGTCGCTGCTGTGGCCAGCGGGCGGCTCCAGCACAGCGGCGAGCGTTACTGGCTGCAGCCGGTGTGTCCGTGCCCACAGCCGGGTGCAGCTGTTGGAGGCCGTGTTGGAGGCCAGTGTGACGTCACACCGTCGTGCCGTCCCAGTCCGTGTCAGTGTCAGAGTGACAGTGGTCTATATACATATATATATATATATATATACAGTGTCAGCTGTGTCCAGCTGCTGGTGCTCCGACTGTCAGCTGAACTGACACACTGACACTGCAGCCCCTGACGGTGTCAGACCGGCCCCCGGTCAGTGTCAGCTGCCGGCACGGAGAGCGGTCCGGTGACACTCCCAGCTGCAGCCCCCTCCCCGTGGCTGGTGCCGCTGCAGTCTTATTGTGCCGGTGGTCAGCTCCGGCAGAATCCACCACAAACAGCTGCCGTCGCTCCTCTGCCGCCGCTCCGACACTCTATTCCGGCAGCCGGACACCAAATAGCTGCAGTGGCTAGCAGTGCATTCACTCCACATGGACACACCGCTCGGAACGTCTCGCCAGACGGACCCGTCTCGGCCGGAGGGGGCGGTGAGGGGGGGGACGCGGCGAAGGCGGCCAGAAGACGGCGCAGCCGAAGCCAACCAGCAGACGCCTCTGCGGCACGCGCGCCACGCACAGACCAATCAGCAGACGCCACTGCGGCACGCGCGTTACGCACAGACCAATCAGCAGACGCCTCTGCGGCTCGCGCACCACGCACAGACCAATCAGCAGCGCCTCCCGCGACTGGCTCGGGCCGGCCGCTGGAAAATGGCCGTAGAAAAGAGGCACAACCGCCGACACCTTAGGGCTTGTCAGTGGCGTTCGGTGGTGTGGTGGCAGCACGGCACGGGGTGGGGCCGGGATGACATGTCGTGGACGAGATCGCCTCCGAGACACCCGGGAAATCTGACGTCCCAGCCGTCCCCAGCCGGTACGTCCCCAGCCGGTACGTCCCCAGCCGTCCCCAGTCGTCCCCAGCCGGTACGTCCCCAGCCGTCCCCAGCCGGTACGTCCCCGCCTGTCTCCAGCCGGTACGTCCCCAGCCGGTACGTCCCCAGCCGTCCCCAGCCGGTACGTTTCCCCAGGGCTGGTAAAGTGTTATGTCCTATTGACGTCGTCGGGGACACAGTACCAGTAAAAGTTCAAGTACCTGGGGTCAAAATTACCACATTTAGTAAACTTTTACAGTAATAAATAACTTTCAAATAAAGCAGAAACTAAACGCAAGTAAAAGATATCATTGAATCCACAACGTATATCCCCTTTAACAAGGACATAAAAAGCCCCTATACCTAATACATACCTACAACATGGTTAATGGTTATGAACAATTAGTAGCCACAACTCACTTCCGTTAACAGCAAAACTACCGTCGACAGTTGCTAACGAAAACTAGATCAAACTAGATGATCAAACACATACTAACAGACGCTTAGACACCGACCCCGCTGTCGGCTGTGCTATTTCAAGCGGGGTTGATTGACGACCAGTTGTAGCCAGCTATACGACTAGACAAACGACTAGATTCTGAACCGGGGTCGGACCAGTTGGACATGGTAAATTCACGCGGGGTCGATAGTTTCTAGCCGTCGTCGTTGTGAGCTACCGATACAATAGCGACACCTATTGCATCTGTTCGACGATCGTAGCGCCCCCTACCCTTTCCGGGTTCTTCGTCTGTTACGCTACCCGCTGACCGAGTGATGCCGTGACATTTTAATTAACAAACTGGAAATTTCGAAGCGCGAGTCTGATAAGCAATTTAGTACATATGACTGCTCGTAAAAAATAATATAGAAATGAAACCTAAGGAAACGCGCATCGTAGTTGCATGCAGCCTGCATACATGAATCGTAAAAAGGTCGGGGTCATTTTTCGCTCTCATTTTTTGGTCGGGGACGCAATTTGCTTTTTTACCAGCCCTGCGTTCCCCATTGATACATTGAGGTAGTTTGAACAGCTATTTTTTTGTTCGTTTGGAAATGCCTTGTTTTGATATGCAAGATGACATGATTCGGTGTAAAATGTCACGGTCCCTGCAATACACAGTATCACTTCGCTGTAAGTCTGACATAACGCTGCAGGTGTGTCAGATTCTTCTCAATGCCAGATCGTTTTTCCTAATGCGAGCGGCCAGGAGGCGGGTGTATGAACCCCTGGCGATTGACTTATATGGCATCTAGAAACACGATATTTAAAGGGTAGGTACTAGATGGACCAATAAAAATGTCCCTCTTGTAAAACATTGGTAAACCTAGGTGTTAGCGAGCAAATGCGTTGGTATTTTTAGGTATTTTCGCAAAGACGGCCGGCGCTCGGAGCGCGGCGGTCGGTCCCCCGCGCCGCGCCGGGCACATATGTGTCATCTGGCCCCTGTCCTGGTTCTCAGGCCCACGTGTTGTGCTACCACGAGGGCTGAGACGGGACGGGGGCCCGACAGTCTTCGACGGGACTCCACCGGTGCGCGACGGCCCGGTGCACGACGTGGCCGACGTGGCCTTTACGTACGACGCGGCCGACGTGGCCTTACGAGAACGATTCAGTGAACCGCATTTGTGACCCCCGTATTTTGTGCATTTTAACCGTTTCCAACCGTTTTAACCTACCTAAGGTGGTTACCACCCCACCCCCCCCCCCCATGTGCGGGCGAGGGTTAATCAATCTCCCCCTCACCAACCCCTGACCGGGCGAGGGATGAGATGTAGGTCCGAACCCTCCATTTTGTTGAGATATCCACTGAGATCATAGACCCGCCTCTTCCATCCCTGCACATGTCTGCTCGTCACTATGTTTTGTTTTGCCGAGTTGCATGAGTTGTCCCGGGGACTGGGGAAGGGAAGGGGAGGGGTGGGGGGGGGACTGCACATCGACCGGCGGCCCGTGTTGTCCCTGTAACCCTGGTGACCCCCACTGACGTCATCAGGCCAGGACACCGCGCCGCCGACTCACTGAACACGATCGATTCTGCCGACACACAGACTCGGGGTGTTGATGTTCGGCGCAGTTCCAGACCGGGACAAAGGCCGACGGAGGAGCCGGAGCCGCACGAGCTGCACTGCGTCCACCGGCCGGGTCAGTCGACAGAGCGGGTGGTCCAACAGTGTGTGGACGGTACTGAGCTCTGTCCACCGGAGCCGACCACGGCGGAGGCGGCGAATATCAGGTGAGCAGGACCGACCTGTGTGTGTGTGTGTGGGGGGGGGGTCTGTGTGTCCCTGTGTCTGTTGTTGAGTGTGTTTTGTGCGTCTGTGTCTATTGTCAGACTATATGTGTTTGTGTAACGGTGTGTATGTGATTCTGTGAGTCTTTGTGTGTTTTCTCTGTGTGCTAGGTACCCGTCTGAGTGTTTGGATGTCTGTGCTTAGATGAAGTAACGGGGAAGAGGGCATAGGTGGCGGAACGGGGAGGGGAGGGGAGCACCGGGGAACCGTGTCCCCTTGATTTCGGCATTTTAACATAAGCCCTATGGGCGTTGCATGGAAAGAATGGGACCAAAAGTCGGCAATGCCCCCCCCCCCCCCACCTTAATTAAAGGTGTCCCGCGCTACTGGGGGAGGGGGCAAATGTCCCGCAGTGGCTGCCAGTTGCCCCTGCAGTGATGAGATTTTGCCCATCCTGTTGGAATGAATACCTATAATGCGCATCAAATAAATATTATCCAAGCTGTCAAACCCGATGTGAAAGTCAATCAATCCTCTTTCCTTTTCATATTTTGTCGCCCGTGTTTACACTGCTCTTAATCTAATATCGTAGAGAACATCCAGCGGCGTATCCACAATCCTGAGGTTACCTTTACTTTAGAGGACCCAGTGGAAGCTTTTTAACCCGCGTCCTGGTTGGGGGTTTTTTTTTGCCCCCCCCCCCCCGTTCCAGTCGTTTCGCATTATCTCCCAAATTAATGCTCCGATCGCCGCGAAAATTTTAGAACTCTCTTGTAAATCGGTTTTACACCTCGTTACCTTTTCTTCCACAGTCTATGATAGGTGGGCCGCAAATGACGTCAGAATGACGTCACGTTCAGGCATTTCCGACCCAAAAGAGGTTTGATGGGAGGAGCTGCCAAGCCCAAAGTTTTAAAGATAAAGGAAAATATTGAAAAACAAAAAGATATAAAACGAGCAGCGCTACAAAACTGCTATCTTGTTTGTTACATATTTGCTTTGATTTTGAACCCCAATTAACCCGCGCCCCGTTGGGCTCTGCCGAGCAACGCACCCCGTTGGGGGGGGGGGGCAATTTGCCCCCCCCCAAAGATCTCGAGAACCACGCAACCTAGCGACAAGCGGCAAACGGTGTTGGATAGCCCTATCAGGGAACTACCTTATGACCCAATTTTGTTGACCTAGGTCAAACTGATGATGTCACAGGTCAGGTTAAAGGTCGAATTTTCAGGGTTTGGTGTTTGTATATTTGTTCATGAACAGTTCGTGAACAATGTTTGTTTGCTTGTTTATTTGATAGTTTACGAATTTTGGCATTCAAGGTCACATGTTCACTTACGATTTTCTGTTCACGAACAGTTCGTGAACGTTCATGAACGTTCATGAACAAGTCATCATTTCTGCTATATTTCGAGTAACTGTTAGCATACGGTGCAGACATGACTGCAGGCAGGTTTTACATGTGAAATATGCACAAGCCACAAGTCATATCTCAAGCACACTAAGGTTGTTTGGTGCAGTAGGAGCTTTCCGCTAATAACTTCCGATCAAATTGAGCTAGCGAGTCGGTTGAGCCATCAACTGACTCAGAAAGAACCTCACGGCTCACGGCGGCGGCCGGTCCCTGGACGCTGCTCGGGACGGCAGGCAATCGCCAAAACAGCGTCGCCCGTCACGTTTTCCCGACGGTTAGACAGCTCGACCGGCTTGGTGCCGGTCGGTAACCGAGCGAACGTCCCGGAAGGAAAGCGTCCCTGGACAGAAAGCGAAAGGACAGAAAGCGAAAGGACAGAAAGGAAAGGACAGAAAGCGAAAGGAAAGGACAGAAAGGAAGAAAGGACAGAAAGAAAGGAAGGAAGGAAAGAAGCGGCAAACGGTGTTGGATAGCCCTATCAGGGAACTACCTTATGACCCAATTTTGTTGACCTAGGTCAAACTGATGATGTCACAGGTCAGGTTAAAGGTCGAATTTTCAGGGTTTGGTGTTTGTATATTTGTTCATGAACAGTTCGTGAACAATGTTTGTTTGCTTGTTTATTTGATAGTTTACGAATTTTGGCATTCAAGGTCACATGTTCACTTACGATTCTCTGTTCACGAACAGTTCGTGAACGTTCATGAACGTTCATGAACAAGTCATCATTTGAAAAGAAAAGAAAGAAGGAAGAAAAAGAAAGAAGAAGAAAAAGAAAAGGAAAACTTCCGATCAAAGCTAATAACTTCCGATCAAATTGAGCTAGCGAGTCGGTTGAGCCATCAACTGACTCAGAAAGAACCTCACGGCTCACGGCGGCGGCCGGTCCCTGGACGCTGCTCGGGACGGCAGGCAATCGCCGTCCCGAACCGAGCGAACGTTCGGCCGAGCGAACGTCCCGAACGTCCCGAACCGAGCGAACGTCCGTGCCTGCTCGGGACGGCAGGCAACCTGCTCCCGAACGTCCCGAACCGAGCGAACGTCCGTGCCTGCTCGGGACGGCAGGCAATCGCCGTCCCGAACCGAGCGAACGCACTATGGTTGGAAACGGCCTCACGGATGGCCGGGGGTAAACGCGAAAAAATGTTTTGCCCATAACTTGTTAATGCGTAGACCGACTGCGATGAAACTTTGCATAGGTATACCAGTGTCTTTCGTGCATCATACAGTAACTCAGAAATGACGAGGTCACGTCACGTCACGCGTGTGTGACGTCATCATTGCAAGTATGTTATAAGTCGCCCATGTCTTTCGTTATGTTATCGATATCGCGAGGCATTTTGAACATGTTTTGAATACTGCTATCACTGAATGGATATTGTTGTTATGCTTTAGGGCGAGAAATATCAACGTAGTGACGCACAGTGTCTTACTATTGGTCATAAAGGGTCAAAAATTTGGAGAAAGAGTATTTATGATTTTTTTTAGATTGGGCAAAAAAGTAAGAAATAAAATGACGATCAAAGGACAAAACATGCGTCAGATTAACCCGGCAGTTGCTGGGGTATTTCCCCATCCGCCGTTTGCCGGGGGGGGGGGGGGCGTTCAACGCCCCCAGCCGATAACTCGCGAACAAATAGGCGCAGCGAAACGCACGAGGCGCGGCAAAAGAAAGAAGAACGCGACGAGACGATTCACATGAATACTTTAAAGTTGAATTTCGAGGTCACAGGTCGGGTCAAGGTCAGGTCAAACACTTGAAATCGGGCTTTCAGTAGCATGGACTTTAGAACCTCGCAATCGGTGCCTCGCGTTTCGCGTTTCGATTATATCGTCATCAGTTGGTCCTAAATAAATTCAGTCATCAGTTGGTCCTAAACAATCTGTCACAACTGTCACAACTGTCACAACCCTTCATATAAGTGCTAAAGAGTGTCAGATCAATGTAGGGGTCAGTCAAACATAGGCCACTGGCCAGGGTCAAAGTCAGGTCAATCAGGTAAGCACATAACCCCGAAAATTAAAACTGGTACCTATTCGCAGCCCATGCATGACACATGTTTTATGGGTTCTTTTGGGCGTAGAACACGATGGTGACATTCATTTTATCATACGAGTACGTGGCTGGTTGAAAAAAGATCAATTTCAGAAATGCATGCATCATGGTCGTGAAGTAGTCACGAGAAATTGCCAACATTCAGTTCATGATTTTGGAAAATGTAGAACGATGATCAAAAACCATAGATAGCCATTTGATTTGCCATGGTATTGGCAGTGTAATGGCGTTTACAGCATGTCTGTATGTCTGCTCTGTCGGTGGATATCCATATCCATACTCCAGGATATCCATGCACGTTTGCACGATATCCATACTCCAGGTGCAGGGGCGAGCAGTTACTTCTTACGAGGGGTGCGGAGTCGAGGTCAGAGTCGGAGTCAGAGTCGGAGTCGGAGTCAGAGTCGCCCAGAGTCGTGGCAACGAGCCAGGAGTCGGAGTCGGAGTCGGGGTCGGTCAGGAGCCCGCAGTGGAAGTCGGAGTCGGTCCGAATCGGAACAGCTCCATCACGACTCCGAAACACTGGCAGGGGTCCGGAGTCGGAAACAGAGTCGGCCGGAGTCATGGCAACGAGTCAGGAGTCGGAGTCGTAGTCGGAGTCGGATTTGGCGCCACCACGACTCCGCAACCCTGCTTCTTACCATCATTTATAAGGATAAGCGATTGCAAGACTGACGAGCCGACCTGGTGCTAACGAAGCGACGGGTAGGTACGCCTCGGGAGATGAAGCTTCACGGACGATTTTGCGCAGAAGTGCGCAGTCTGCTTTTACGTTCCCCTTACGCAGAATTGAACAGAGATTTATTCTGCCAAAAAGCTCAATGGAGGTCGATGGAGAACTTTTTGTATGTCCAATGAAACATAAACGTAATTTTGCAAATATTGCTGTGGTGACACTGCAAACAGAATGCAATGCCGTTCCTGATTTTGAACACGCACGGGAAAAAGAGTCACTCCACTCGTTAGCCAACATAACAAGGATTATTTTGATATATTATAATCTAGTTTTACAACGTCATGGAGGTACTCCACATGCTATCACCAGCGCGGTTGTTTAAACCTTTGACGGCGCACCAAAAAAGCCACTATTAGAAACTCCCGATTCCACGTACGATAATGGAGACTAAATGCGCAACTAAATAATTTTTTCTGCCCAATTCAAAACATTTCATCAATTTCCAACAGAATGACACCCCAATTATACATATATTCCGAAATTGCCCACGGCCATCCGTGAGGCCGTTTCCAACCATAGTGGAACGTCCCGGAAGGAAAGCGTCCCTGGACAGAAAGCGAAAGGACAGAAAGCGAAAGGACAGAAAGGAAAGGACAGAAAGCGAAAGGAAAGGACAGAAAGGAAGAAAGGACAGAAAGAAAGGAAGGAAGGAAAGAAGCGGCAAACGGTGTTGGATAGCCCTATCAGGGAACTACCTTATGGGGGGGCATTTTGGCCCCACTGTGGTTTTTCTTAAATAGCGAGAAAACGGTGGCGTGCAGCGCCGCCAAATTTTGCATACCTTACCGGACATCAATTTAACACCTTCACACAAAATTTCAAGTCACAGATCACCTCAGGTCAGGAGTTATTGAGGTCAAACTGAGGTCATGTTCGAGTAAAAATGAGCAAAAAATATGACATCTTGAAACGCTCACCAATTCTACAGTTAACAAACAATTTTAAAGTTCTTTATGTGGTTGTGTAGAGAAAAGACGGCGCTACAAAACTGCTATCTCGGATTTTCGAAATTTTGGGATTTTGACCCCAAAAATAAAAAAAAAATGTTTAAAAAAAAAACTCAAAAAAATTTCAAAAAAATCGAATTTTGAAAAAACCGGAATAAATGTGATATTCCCTGCGCTCTTCGATATACATACCAAATTTTATATCAATACCTCTTTTTTGGCCAAGTTATAGCGGAAAAACTGTTAACCCTCGCCGGCCGAGGGGGGGGGGCGGGTGCCGCCCCCCCATAGGGTTTTTTTCGCGATAGCTCCGAACACGCTGGCGATAGAGAGCTGAAACTTGGCATACCTGACCTTTGATCCAAGCCGGATCTTTTGACCGCCAACCGCATTTTTGGGTCAGGTCAGGTCACTGACCTATGACGTCATAAGTGAACCTCTGCACGGTCTTCAGATGTCGCAACTTCGCAACGCCCTCACTGCCAGAGGAGATGTCACAGGGAAATGAAACTTGCAGGATCTAGTATCCATTATGAGTCCCACAACTTGTATATCTCGGATTTTTCCTAAAGGTCATATGAGGTCAGGTCATTTTCGTGACCTCACCATTATAAGTCAATGGGGAAAAATTCAAACTGCTATTCTGGCGCCGGGAACGATCTCCAACTATCTCAAGCACACAGAATCGTGATTTGATGCACTCCTTGCAAGGTTAGATGCGTCACTTTTGCAATGTTGACATTGCGTGACGTCATTTATGACGTCATCAAGGTCAAATTAGTTTTTCGTCAATAACTCTTGATCAAATTGAGCTAGCGAGTCGGCAAAGGCACCAATGGACTCAGGAAGGCCTGCCGAATCGAATGATATGCGACATGACCTCTTTCGACCAACTTCGTGACCTGGGGGTGCTGACCTGACCTTGACCTGAGGTCAACACCCCAAGTTGACCTGACCCGGACAAAAGGTATATCATTCGACGCGCCTGAGCGAGGCGAACACAATGCTGCCAAAATCAGCGCTCTGCGGCCGTTTTTTGCGAAGTTATTCACCAAAAACTGAACCGTACCCTGGGGCACTTGACCTGACCTCAGAGGTCACCGGTTGACCTAGGACCTTAAAATCGGGTACCAATCTCTGCGTCTCGTAACGGCGCACACGCTCGTTTTTTCCGCGACGCGCTAGCTCCACCAGTGGCGAAACGGCGAGGGGGGGGTCGTACGCGCCCCCCCCCCCTCGGCCGGCGCGTATGTAGAAAACCAATAGGTCCGGCGAGGGTTAACCTTCCAGGCGGTGGGGGGGGGCAATTTTTTGCCCCCCCCCTTTAGTTTTTTCGATATATCTCAAGAACCGCTGCGCCGATCGTCAGCAAACCTTCAGTACCCTCCCGGGAGCAGCTAGCGCACATGGTGACCAAAAATTTTTCCAATGGCTATGATAGGTTGGCTGCTAATGACGTCAGAGTGACGTCATTTTTGCCATTTTCGACCCAAAGAAAGGTTTCGCGGGAAGAGCTGTCAGGCCTACAGCTTTAGAGATACATAAAAATGTTTCAGACATAAAAGGTGTGAAATCAAAAGGGCTACAAAACTGCTATTTCGGTTTTTCGATTTTTTTTGGATTTTGACCTCCAAAAATCAGAAAATAGATTTTTCGAATATAATAGCCGAAAAATCCAAAAAGTTTTTTGAATTTCGAAAAAAACGGAATATATGTGATAGTCCCTACCGCCTTCTATCTACATACCAAGTTTGAGATCGTTACCTCTTTTTTGGCCAAGTTATAGCGAAAAAACTGTTCAAAATTGATGACGTCAAATTTTCAAACTCAATTTTTAGCAATTCTAGACCTCGTAGCGCAAAACAAAGACCACCATTAGACTCCCCGCGACGAGCTGCATCGATTCGATACCCATTTTATGCAAAAATATCAACTTTGAAATTTGACCTTTTTTGACCTGACCTTGACCTGACCTCCACCAGAAAGTGACCTTAACCGTACCTGATGGTCTTATAAGCAACACCATTGAGTTGGAAATGAAAAACTGGCCATAAAACATGCATCGCATAACCTTAGTAAAGTTGGGCTCATGTGGTGACCCAGGGTGACCTTTGGTGACCTGACCTGTGACCTGACCTGGTATGACCGGTGACCTCTAATAGCAACATATGTACTAGACAACTGACGCCTCATCGCTGATTTTCGACAAAATGCGTTTTACTCGGTGTTATAGCGCTTTACCTAGAAGCCCCGTGAACGGTGAAACATTTTGTCTTTGACCTGACCTGTGACGTCATCGGTGACCCCGAGGTCAATGAAATTTGGTTTCCTTCGACAAATTTGACAGGGCTATCGAACGCCGTTTGAATTTTCCGGATCCGTTCAGTAGTTTCGGAGATACGGGGGGGGGGGGGGCAAAAAAATGCCACCCCCCCCCCCCCACCGCGCGGAAGGTGGCTGGTAGGCCCACCGCCTGCCGGGTTAAAAATTGATGACGTCAAATTTTTGAACTCAATTTTTAGCAATTCTAGACCTCGTAGCGCAAAACGGAGAACACCATTGAGCTCCCCGTGACGAGCTGCTTCGAATCAATACCCATTTTATGCAAAAATATCAACTTTGAAATTTGACCTAATTTGACCTAACCTTGACCTGACCTTGACCAAAACGTGACCTAACCTGGCCCTAACGTCTGTCTGACCCACATAATCGCATTTGTCATGTAAAATGGACCATAAAACATGCATCACAATTCACACGACACTTTCATATTGTGACCCCCCAGTGACCTGACCTCTGTGACCTGACCTGGTATCAGTGACCTCAAGTAGCAAAATATGTGTTTGTAGAACATTTCCTCATCGATGATTTTCAATGAAATGCATTTTACACGATTTTACAACGCATTTCTTGAAATGCCCGCAAACGGTGAAAATTCGACCTTTGACCTGACCTGTGACGTCATCGGTTTGACCGAGGTCAATGAAATTGGGTCACAAGGTAGTTCCCCGTTGGGGCTATCAAACACCCTTTACCGCTTGTCGCTATGTTGCGTGGTTCTCGAGATCTGAGGGGGGTCAAAATGGCCCCCCATCAGACCGCGTTGCTCGGCAGACCCCATCTGGGCGCGGGTTAATCAATCTCCCCCTCCCCAACCCCTGACCGGGCGAGGGATGAGATGTAGGTCCAAACCCTCCATTTTGTTGAGATATCCACTGAGATCATAGACCCGCCTCTTCCATCCCTGCACATGTCTGCTCGTCACTATGTTTTGTTTTGCCGAGTTGCATGAGTTGTCCCGGGGATTGGGGAAGGGAAGGGAAGGGGAAGGGAGGGGAGGGGGGACTGCACATCGACCGGCGGCCCGTGTTGTCCCTGTAACCCTGGTGACCCCCCACTGACGTCATCAGGCCAGGACACCGCGCCGCCGACTCACTGAACACGATCGATTCTGCCGACACACCGACTCGCGGTGTTGATGTCCGGTGCAGTTCCAGCCCGGGACAAAGGCCGACGGAGGAGCCGGAGCCGCACGAGCTGCACTGCGTCCACCGGCCGTGTCAGTGGACAGAGCGGGTGGTCCAACAGTGTGTGGACGGTACTGAGCTCTGTCCACCGGAGCCGACCACGGCGGAGGCGGCGAATATCAGGTGAGCAGGACCGACCTGTGTGTGTGTGAGGGGGGGGGTCTGTGTGTCCCTGTGTCTGTTGTCTGAGTGTGTTTTGTGCGTCTGTGTCTATAGTCAGACTATATGTGTTAATGTAACGGTGTGTATGTGATGGTGTGAGTCTTTGTGTGTCTTCTCTGTGTGCTAGGTACCCGTCTGAGTGTTTGGATGTGGGTGCTTACATGCATTAACGGGAAAGAGGGCATAAGGGGCGGAACGGGGGGGGGGGGGTGCACCGGGGAACCGTGTCCCCTTGATTTCCGCATTTTAACATAAGCCCTATGGGCGTTGCATGGAAAGAATGGGACCAAAAGTCGGCAATGCCCCCCCCCCCCCCACCTTAATTGAAGGTGTCCCACGCTACTGGGGAGGGGGCAAATGTCCCGCAGTGGCTGCCAGTTGCCCCTGCAGTGACGAGATTTTGCCCACCCTGTCGGAGTGAATATAATGCGCTTCAAATAAATATTATCCAAGCTGTCAAACCCGATGTGAAAGTCAATCAATCCTAATTCCTTTTCATATTTTGTCGCCGGTGTTTACACTGTTCTTAGTCTAATATCGTAGAGAACATCCAGCGGCGTATCCACAATTTTGAGATTACCTTTACTTGAGGGGACCCAGTGGAAACTTTTTAACCCGCGCCCTGGTGGGGGGTATTTTGTGCCCCCCCCGTTCCAGTCGTTTCGCATTATGTCCCAAATTAATGCGCCGATCGCCTCGAAAATTTCAGTTACCTCTTCTAAATCAATTTTACACCTTTTAACCTTCCAGGCGGTGGGGAGGCATTTTTTTGTCCCCCCTTTAGTTTTTTCAATATATCTCGAGAACCGCTGCGCCGATCGTCACGAAACTTTCAGTACCCTCCCGGGAGCAGCTAGCGCACATGGTGACAAAAAATTTTCCAAAGGCTATGATAGGTTGGCCGCTAATGACGTCAGAGTGACGTCATTTTTGCCATTTTCGACCCCAAAAAAGGTTTCGCGGTAAGAGCTGTCAGGCCTACAGCTTTAGAGATACAGAAAAATGTTTCAGACATAAAAGGTGTAGAATCAAAAGGGCTACAAAACTGCTATTTCGGTTTTTCGATTTTTTTTTATTTTGACCCCCAAAAATCAAAAAGTAGATTTTTTTGAATACAATAGCCAAAAAATCCATTTTTTGTTTCGAAAAAGCCGGAATATATGTGATAGTCCCTACCGCCTTCTATCTACATACCAAATTTGAGATCGATACCTCTCTTTTGGCCAAGTTATAGCGAAAAAACTTCAAAATTGATGACGTCAAATTTTCAAACTCAATTTTTAGCAAATCTAGACCTCGTAGCGCAAAACAAAGACCACCATTAGACTCCCCGTGACAAGCTGCATCGAATTTTATTTTTTTTGCGGCCAACCTAAAGGTTAACCCGGCAGGCGGTAGGCCTACCAGCCACCTTCCGCGCGGTGGGGGGGGGGGCATTTTATTTATTTTTATCGAATTTTATGGCAACAACCATTTTATGCCAAAATATCAACTTTGAAATTTGACCTTTTTTGACCTGACCTTGACCTGACCTCCACCAGAAAGTGACCTAAACCGTACCTGATGGTCTTATAACCAACACCATTGAGTTGGAAATGAAAAACTGGCCATAAAACATGCATTGCATAACCCAACTTTACTGCATGAGCCCAACTTTACTAAGGGCCTTAGTAAAGTTGGGCTCATGTGGTGACCCTTGGTGACCTTTGTTGACCTGACCTGTGACCTGACCTGGTATGACCAGTGACCTCTAATAGCAACATATGTACTAGACAACTGACGCCTTATCGCTGATTTTCGACAAAATGCGGTTTACTCGGTGTTATAACGCTTTCCCTAGAAGCGAAACATTTTATCTTTGACCTGACCTGTGACGTCATCGGTGACCTCGAGGTCAATGAAATTTGGTTTCCTTCAACAAATTTGACAGGGCTATCGAACGCCGTTTGAATTTTCCGGATCCGTCCAGTAGTTTCGGAGATACGAGGGGGGGGGAAATGCCCCCCCCCCACCGCGCGGAAGGTGGCTGGTAGGCCCACCGCCTGCCGGGTTAACCTTTAGGTTGGCCGCAAATGACGTCAGAGTGACGTCATGTTCAGGCATTCCCGACCCAAAAGAGGTTTGGTGGGAAGAGCTGTCAAGCCCAAAGTTTTGAAGATAAAGTAAAATGTTGAAAAAAAAAGATATAAACCGAGCAGCGCCTCAAAACTGCTATCTTGTTTTTTTATATATTTGTTTGATTTTGAACCCCAAATTAAAAAAGTGACTTTTGAAATAATCCCCTAAAATGTAAAACAAAATAAAGAACTGATCTTTTTGTTAACCCGCGCCCCGAATGGGCGCAAGAATTGCTCGTGAAACACATATTTTGCTATTTGAGGTCACTGATACCAGGTCAGGTAACAGAGGTCAGGTCACTGAGGACCACAATATGAAAGTGTCGTGAAATCCATGTTTAAAGGATCCGGCGGCCACTGGGCCTCCGCGTCACCCGCCGGCCGCTGGGGGGGGGGGGGAGGGGCATATAGTTGTCCCCCTTTACTTCTGCGACGATATCATTACAACGCGACGAGATAGAGAAGCACATATCTTCCTGAATACCTAGCCGAGGTTGTGTCCAAATTTGGTGTCGATCTCATCTGAAATGACGTCGCAGTGACGTCATAAGTAAAATTATAGATTTGCGACTCTCAGTTTCCTCACGATATATCAGAAATATGGGACCGTATATAAAGGGCCGATTATTGGTCAGGAACTAGATGGAAGTGTATTTAGGTGTTTCAGGATGACAGCAGGTGCTCTCTAGTTCATTTACAGTTGCGTTTCATGCTCAGCGACATCAGAAACGGTCCGTATCGGAAAACAATATTTCATGACGTCATTGTGACGTCATCTTAAGTACTACAACCACCAAAATTTGCTCAAACATTGCCCAGGTAGTCATTTGAAGCTACGTTGAGTTTCACGGTCGTAGCTTATCAGGTTTCGGAGATATTCCGCAAAACGTAAAGGGGGGCAACTTTATGCCCCCCAGCGGCTCGTGGGTTAACCCGGCACCGCCTGGGCTATTTCCGTACCCTCGACAGCCTGGGGCCTGGGGGGGGGTCGGATCCGACCCCCCCCCCCCCCCCCTGTTATCTCGAGAACCAATGGTCGTATCGAGCCCCGCGAGGCGGCGTTCGAAAGGTCTCTACGAGACCATCCCAAAGCGCTCTTAAGATTTTAAGATTGAGGTCAACTTTCGGGTTAAGGTCAGGTCAAAGGTCAAATTCAGGGGTTTTGCATGATTAGGCTTACGGACAGCGGAATCGATAGCTGCTGCTCGAAACTCACCAAAAATGACCTCAAACGCCTAGTGAAGGTACCATGTGCGTATAGGGGTCATACTAAGTACGGGTCAAGGTCAGGTCAGGTCACGAAAGGTCACGGTTTTCACTTTCTGCTACATGGGCGTTCGACACATGTTTAACCCGCGCACCGACGGGGGGGGGGCGGATATCCGCCCCCCCCCCCCTGAGGTTTTTCGCGGATAGCGGGAAAACCGCGGCGCGTAGCGCCGCGAAATTTGGTATGACTATTCTCTCATCAATGTTACACATGGTGTGCAAGTTTGAACCTCCTAACTTTTAAGGTCAGGTCACCAGGTCACTTTGAATGACCCAACCTCAAGTCACTTTTTTGCAACTTTGTCACCGTGCCAGAGCTACAGTAGATGTCGGAGGCCTTTGAAAGTCGCAGGATGTTATTAGGTCATTAGTAGCTACAATTTGTATATCTCGGAATTTTGATGTCGGTGACCTAAGGTCAGGTCAATTTCGCGACCTCCCCATTATAAGTCAATGGGGGAAAAATCAACTCCCTGTTCTTACCACTAAAACGGGTCGGAATGGCCCCATATACCATACACGACTTCACATACGATCAACCTTCACTACCTTGAGGTCTGTTTTGCTGTTGGGCAGCTGTAAGGTCATGTGACGTCATCAAAGGTCACCAAAGGTTTTTTGCCAATAACTCCTTACAGGAACAAGACACAGCCGCGCGGATGGTCTCATTGTGTTCAGCTCGTCAAGACGCATCGAATGATATACATGATGACCTCGAGGTCACGTGACCTGAGGTCAACCTTTGACCTTGACCTTTCGAGGTCAACATATATATCATTCGATGCGGATTGACGAGAGGATCACGATGATGCTCTTAGTTTGTTCCTATCTTGACTACTTCGAAAGTTATTCGAGAAAAACCCTCTCCATATCTAGCGCCGCCATTTTGACTTTTTCGACCCCTGTGACGTCATCTTTGACCTGACCTGAAAATGACCTTTGTAAAAATTGTAGACCTTGTCCGTGCGTATCCGATGCCGTTTACCGCTTGTCGCTATCATGCTTCGTTCTCGAGATCTCAGGGGGGGGCGGTCATCCGCCCCCCCCCGTCGGTACTAAGTTGGCGCAGACCCCCGTCGGTGCGCGGGTTAATGGCTTATTTTTCACGCCGAATCCGATGGTAATGTTTATTAGTGACCCCAAGTCACTGTGATGGTGATAAGTGTGCATTGAAAGTATAAAAACTCGTTTATACCATACATAACTAAATGAGGGCCAAGAAAAAGTCAATTTTTCAACTTTTTATTTTTGTATATTATGATGGTAGAAAATGACCTTATGCTCATGATACAATGAAATGATATTAAAATAAGTCCAAAAATATTATGATATATTTCGACTTGCGTCGTCTTCAGAATGTACATTTTCAGAATTGTCGACGAGCAAATTCAAATCCTTTCAAAATAGCGTGCAACATTTTTGTGAGATCTCTGGCTAACAAATTACAGTCAGGTCATACCTATAATAAATTTTAGCAGCGTACAATACAATGAATACAATATCACTGAATAATAATTGGATAAATATTGTCAGTGCGACACAATACCTAAAAGTAACACAGGCATATGTTGTTTGTGCAGCACGCCAAACTCGCGAAAATGCAAAACCTATGCAGAGTGATTGACACTTGGATTGACATGATAAGATGCATTCATACACTTATAATTACACATGTTTCAGGTGCGTACAACTAATACATACACACAGCAGAGTAAACATGACACCAGTGTAGAGCTCGCTGAGGTGGTGCACGAATGGGGGGGGGGACGCTGTCAACTGCGTCTACCCTACATCAAATTAGTACAAATGGCGATGAAAGACGCACCTAACAAGTACAAGTTCTTCAGGTGAGACAAATAAAAAGAATGGATAAGCCAATAGAGACATGCTGACAAAAAAGAGGACGGTAGGCCAAGCATAGAACATCGCCTATGTGGGAGTGTAGGGAGGGGGATGGAGAAGGGGCCAGGATGAGGTTTGTGTGTTTAGGCATGGTTTTTGGTTTCTTATTTCAACAGATTCTGCTATTTTGAGATCAGCCACATCTTTACATACTCTCTCTATGCTAATTTTGAATGAGGATGACGATATACTACATGATGGGTGGTTGAGGTTGACATGGTCTCCGAGAGGGGTGTTTTTGGTCTTGTTTTTAGCATCCCGTAGATGCTCATTAAATCTTTCGCGGACTCTCCTTTTTGATTCACCTATGTACACAGCGGGTTTCTCATCACACAGGTTACATGTGATTTTATATACAACATTTTTGGTATGACAGCGGCTACGAAGGCCTGCTTCACAGGTGTGACATCTCTTTGATCCAGCAGGGCACGGAGGACTTTCGAGACCTGACCGTATCATATGCTTGGACACTGTTTTCCCGCTGACCCATGCGACCTGTGCCTTCAGACCAGACGAGCGCACCGCACCGTTCACTCGGCGCGCTAGTGTTTCGTCAATGTACGGGAGCGATATGTAGGTCGTGTCATTTTTGTTGCGTCCAGTGGTGTTGTGTTTGTGACCTTTCTGTGTGTGGTGCATGATCTTGTGCTTAGTTCTCTGTATGAGTTTGTTGGGGTATCCGTTGTGTCTGAAAAGTGTCTCTACGACCTTCATTCCTCGCTCTTTTGCCTGTCTGTCTGAACCTAGCCGTTTAGCCCGCAAAAGTTGTGAGTGGAGTACTGATCGTTTGCATTGCATTGGGTGTGCTGATGTGTAGTGAATGATGATAGGGGCAGCCATAGGTTTGATGTACAACTCTGTGCTGTAGGTGCCGTCTTCTTGTACTGTGATGATGGTGTCTAGGTAGGGTATGCTTCTATTTGGTGTCCTGTCAGTTCTTTCGATAGTGAATTTTAGCGCTGGGTGGAAGTCGTTCATAAACTGGAAATACTCGTCAAGTCTGTCTGCCCCATGGGTCCAAATGCCTAGCACATCATCGATATAACGCATGTAGGTCACTGGCTGGTACTGAGAATTTTGAGAAGTCAGGATCAGGGATTCTACAGCATTCATGAACACTATGGCTAGTGGGGGAGCAATCCTAGAGCCCATGGCTACTCCTACTGTCTGTTTGAAGAACTTTTGACCGAACCGAACATAGTTATTGTTAAGACAGTGCTGTAGGAGCGTTTCGATATCTTCAACAGAGAGTCCAAAAGTGTCAATTTTGTCCAGATGCTTTTTGATGAGGTCCAGGGTGGCTGTGACAGCTTCGCTAGTGGGGATGTTGCCGTAAAGGTTCGTCACGTCTACAGAAAATACTATGGCACCCGCTGGGAGTCCGTGGGGAAACTGTGTCCTAAGTCGGTGTAAATAATCGTCTGTGTTAGTCAGGTGCGCTGGCACAAATGCAAGGAGCTGCGTTATGATCCGTTCCAAAATGAATACAATATTCAGTGATATTGTATTCATTGTATTGTACGCTGCTAAAATTTATTATAGGTATGACCTGACTGTAATTTGTTAGCCAGAGATCTCACAAAAATGTTGCACGCTATTTTGAAAGGATTTGAATTTGCTCGTCGACAATTCTGAAAATGTACATTCTGAAGACGACGCAAGTCGAAATATATCATAATATTTTTGGACTTATTTTAATATCATTTCATTGTATCATGAGCATAAGGTCATTTTCTACCATCATAATATTCATAATTATGCTCAAACTAGCCATAGCTCACCTCCAACGAATCGAACAAGACTTTTTATTTTTGACATAAAATGCATTTTTCTAGACGAGCTTTGTCCCAGGAATCTAGTGGTGCCATTTGTTTTCACATGTGATGTTCAAAAGTGCCTCTAATTCACGAAAATGCTTATGACGTCACCATGCTCTATGCATGTTGGAGCTATTTTTTACAATTTGGGGGTCAAAAATCGAGATAGAAAGTTGAATTTTGGGACATCTAATGTTCTAATAGAGCTCTATAACATATATTCCGTTTTTTTGGAAATTCCCAAAATTTTGGATTTTATTAGCTGTTTTCCAAAAAAAATATAGTTTTTGAATTTTTAGGGGTTAAAAACACATTTTATGGAAAATCCGAGATAGCCATTTTAAAGAACTCGTTGAGCTGCGTTTATTCATGTCCTTAACCCTCGCATGTGTGCGGCGTTTTCCAACTTCTAATGTGTAGGGGGGGGGGGGTCGGTTGGACCCACCCTTGCCGTTTGGCCCCTGATCGAGCTAGAGCTTCGCGGAAAAAACGAGCGTGTTGCCCGTGACGAGAGGAAGCCGATGATACCCAATTTTAAGGTCCTAGGTCATTGGTTGACCTTCCAGGTCAGGTCAATGACCCAAAGTCGGGAAAATCGGGACCTATTAGAAAGTCGTAAAGTGTGGCTGCTAAGGGGTTTTTCGGGGTGCTGATCACGAATATCGTGTTAGTTTTGATCACAGATGATGTCTTAAAGCATTTAGACCAGGTCGGGTCAGGTCAGGTCAGGTCAACCAGTAGGCGTCGTGACGGGTATTTGTAGTACGTGTCAACCGCCTCTGACAGCTTCGTAACATGTTACGAAGGCACCAAAACTACTTCGTAAATGTTCAAATGGTTGCTAAATTCGAATTCAGCTCCAAAAACTAGCCTATAAACATGTAAAACTCGAAAAAGTGAACCGAGGTCACCCGAAGTCACCAAAGGTCAATGACCTGACCTGACCTTCAGGTGACCTTGACACCCACCCTAATGCATGGGAGCAACATCACATCACATGTTTGAACGTTTGAAACCACGAAAAGCTTGCAAACGCGCGGCTAATGCGAGCCGACGTACGCCGAATCGCGATTCCGGCCAAACATGGTCTCGGAAAGAGGTCACAGGTCAAAGGTCATTTGGGTCAGGGTCATGAAATTTCCAGGGTAGGTGTAAAATTGATCAATGCGAGGGTACTGAAAGTTTCGTTGCGATCGGCCGCTTTTTACGCGAGTTTTTCGCGAAAAACCATGGGGAGGGGTCCATCCGACCCCCCCCCCCCCTACACATGCGAGGGTTAATTTGCGATTTTCTTAAAACCTCGATTTTTGGCGATTTTTTTAAACATTTACCATTTTTTGACTGAAAATGCCATGTAGTTACATCACTAAAATCGATATATCTAAAAAAATTGAAAATGTTGTCTTGAAAATTGCACAGGGGACGTAAAATTGATGGGGGAGAAGGTATGCCAAGTTTCAAGTAGATAGCGTAAGCGGTTCATGAGATATTCAAGAAAAACAGGGGGGGTCGGATCCGACCCCCCAGGCGGTCGCGGGTTAAACATGCATAAGGGCTACAGTCTGACCGTCGAGGCCCTCGAGGTGGCCTCTGATGGTCCAACGCCAGCCTCTGAGGGCCCAGCGCCAACCTTAGACTTCTGAGGACAGAGGGCCCCACGTTAACCTAAGAGGGCCTACATTGTCCTTAGATAGCCCCAAGCTGGCCTGTTCTCAGTGGGCCCCAATCTGGCCTCAGAAGACCCCACGCCGCTGGTCTTAGAGGAACCCACGCTGCCCTTAAATTGCCCCACGCTGGTCTAAAAGGGCTACGCACTGGCTTCTTTGGGCCCCACGTCAATATTTGGCTATTTAAGGTCCCAAAGCGGACTCTAAATGACCATGCTAGCCTCCGACGGCTCGACTTCGGCTTCTGAGGACCCCGTACGCTGGCCTCGAAACCTTTGGTAGAAGTTAGTGGAGCCTTCGGCTTCTGAGGGCCCTACGCTGGCCTCGAAACCTTTGGTAGAAGTTTGTTTAGACATGTTTACGGATGCTTAACTGATAAGCAGGATTTTGGTATACCTTTACCTACGGTATATGGTATGTATGTTAGGTGTGTGTAAAGGTCCGCTTATACGGTGTATATTAGGTGGTATCTGACATTGTGGAGTCGGGTTTGTCCCCCTTCCCCCAGTCGAAATTCCTTAGCCGAGGTCCTGCTGTGTGACTGTGTCAGTCCTGCTGTTTCACTGTCTGTATCCTATACATCCTATCCATCCTAAACACCCTATACATCTGGTGTTTCTAAGTGCATTAGGAGGTAATCGCCAGAGGTCGTACCAGCCCCTCTACCCTCACCGTCCGCATTATGAAAAAGGCCCGGCCAAGGGTAAACATGCGTAGTAATAACGTTTCTTTATTATCTCTTTTTTTTTTGCGAAAAACTAATAACGATAGAAAGTTTCTATATTGGTTACCTGTTTGCGTGCCTGCCAAGCTTGTTTGTCCGGTATGCAGCAATGCGGGTTACATGACAAAACATGTCGTAATACGTAATGACATGTCGTTTTGTGACGTGATTAGACACGACGCTGCACGACATGTCGTAATGCGTACGACGTAACACTACGTACTATGTCACCTTTGTATGATTAGTAGAAACGTAAAAAAAAAACTGTAATTCTGTGTTCCAGATGGAGATGACAGATTGCGTGAAGACCTGGTCGCCCTTCGCCGGGAGGTGTCCGCCCTTCGTGAAGTGGTGGCTGCCCTTCGTGAAGAGATGTCCGCCCTTCGGGAAGTGGTGGTCCCCCTTCGTGAAAAGGTGACCATTCTGAGTGAGGTAGTGGCGAAGGACAATTCAGATATGAAGAAGCTCAAGGGGGAGAACGCCGCACTTCACGGTGCGATGGTCCGCCTGGAGCAGGCAGTTATCGAGGAGCGGACCACTCGCCAGACCGTGGTGGAGGAGCTGCGGCAGGAGGTCCGCCGGCGAGCGGCGCCATCCGGCCGTCCCCAGGGGTGAGACTGGGAGGCAGCAGGGGTGGCTGCGGGGGCTGAGAGATTTCGGAGAGCTGTCATGGTGAGAAGTAAACTCTCTTTGTAGAAGGTGTAAGAAATAAAACATAACTAGGTCTTTGAAGGTCGAGTAACTTGTAATTGTAATTTCCGCGCAATCAAAGAAACATGTCTTGAATTCGTACTATCTTTTGCAAGTCAGCGGTTTAGTCTCGATCGTATTGTTCCAGTTTTCGACAGACGTCCTGCAATCTGTATACAGTTGGTTAGTTTCGGGCATTATATCCCGCACGTATTTACATGTCTTCATCAGCAATCGTGTCACAAAATCTAATCGGTCGTATCAAATCGTTCAGATTCGTATCAAATCAACTTTGAACGATTTTATGCAACCGAGTAGATTTGACGATACCATGACTGACGACGATGATATGGAAATGTATATCGAAATATCAAATGAGCCGACAATAAATGCGGAATTGTTATGCCTGATCAGTAGATTTATCGACTTCTGTTCTTTTTTTTCAGTAGAGCTAGAAAAATGGCCAATGACGTCATAGTACAGACGGAGCCCCAGTCATCGACAGTCAATGACGTCATAGTACAGACGGAGCCCCAGCCATCGGCACACAGTGACGTCATAGTACAGACGGAGCCCCAGTCATCGGCAGTCAGTGACGTCATAGTACAGACGGAGCCCCAGCCATCGGCAGTCAATGACGTCACAGTACAGACGGAGCCCCAGCCATCGGTCGCCAGTCTATTCAACACGCTTGAGGAGTCGCTCGGCCTTGTAACCATGACGACGTTCGACGCTCCGTCGGCCCTTGGCGAGGATCAGCTGACGGCGCTCCTGCAGAGTCTTCCCCGCTTGGAGGAGCTGACCGTCAGGGTCCCGTCCTTCGGAACGGGGCGGTGGCTGCGGCTGCTGCCGACGTCACTGAGGACGCTATACGTTGCAGGTGAGAAGTAGGTAGTCGAGGAAACGCGTACTATTACTTCTGAATGGTGATTGGTGAATGGTGAAACATAGCACATATCGTATCGGCTTCAATGATAACTATTCAGCCGACATATGTGTGCCATGCTACCTACATGCTACACAAACATTAGTCACTGTACTCGAGGGCAGCGCTTTTCGAGCAGCGCTGCGGCCCGAAGGTTGGGACTTTGAATTGCGAAAAACGCCCGCCCGCCGCAAAACGCCAACACCGCAAAACGTGCAAAACGCAAGCCGGAAACGCCAACGCAAATATCGCAAGAAAAAAAAAACAAATAAATGCCCGCCAGCCGCGAACCGCAAAAAAACGCAAAACCGCCCGCATCGCACGCACGCTAACCGCCAACTGAAAACGCCTATAAAGCGCCCAACCGCCGCCAACCGCCAACAAATTGAACACCGCAAACGACGCAAAAAAAAACGCCCGCATCGCCCGCACGCCCGCCGCCAAACACAAACACTGCAAAAAGCACAAAATGCCCGCCCGCCGCAGAACGCAAACACCGCAAAACGTGCAAAACGCACGCCCGAAACGCCAACGCATACGTCGAAAAAAATCGCCCACGCAAACCGCAAAAAACGCAAAAAAAAAGCCGCAAAAAATAAACCGCCCGCATCGCACGCACGCTAACCACCAACCGAAAACGCCTAAAAATCGCCCGCCAGCCCCCAAACGCAAACACCGCAAAAAAACGCCCGGCCGCCGCAAAAAAGAAAACAAACTTCACATAGAAAAGGACGCAAAAAACGCCCGCATCAACCGCCCGGCCGCCGCTAAGCACAAACACAGCAAAAACGCCCGTCCGCCGCAAAACGCAAACAACGCAAAAAAGCGCAAAACGCACGCCCGAAACGCCAACGCAATTAAGACCAAAGTGACGCGAGGCGTTACATGTATGTATATGCGTACCTGACAGTAATTTATTAATACATGAAACTGATAAAATATTCCTTAATTTTAGCCCATTTAGGCACTTAACCCGCGCACCGACGGGGGTCTGCGCCAAATTCGTACCAACACAGGGGGGGGCGGATGACCGCCCCCCTGAGATCTCGAGAACGAAGCATGATAGCGACAAGCGGTAAACGGCATCAGATACGCACGGACAAGGTCTACAATTTTTACTCAGGTCATTTTCAGGTCAGGTCAAAGATGACGTCACAGGGGTCAAAAAATCAAAATGGCGGCGCTAGATATGAAGAGTTTTTCTCGAATAACTTTCGAACTAGTCAAGATAGGAACAATCGAAGGGCATCATCGTGATCCTCTCGTCAATCCGCATCGAATGATATATATGTTGACCTCGAAAGGTCATGGTCAAAGGTTGACCTCAGGTCACGTGACCTCGAGGTCATCATGTATATCATTTGATGCGTCTTGACCAGCTGAACACAATGAGAACATCTGCGCGGCTGTATCTTGTTCCTGTACGGAGTTATTGGCAAAAAACCTTTGGTGACCTTTGATGACGTCACATGACCTTACAGCTGCCCAACAGCAAAACAGACCTCAAGGTAGTGTCGGTTGATCGTATATGAAGTCATGTATGGTATATGGGGCCATTCCGACCCGTTTTAGTGGTAAAAACAGGGAGTTGATTTTTCTCCCATTGACTTATAATGGGGAGGTCGAGAAATTGACTTGACCTTAGGTCACCGATATCAAAATTCCGAGATAAAAAAATGTAGCTACTAATTACCTAATAACATCCTGCGACCTTCAAAGGCCTCCGACATCTACTGTAGCTCTGGCACGGTGACAAAGTTGCAAAAAAGCGACTTGAGGTTGCGTCATTCAATGTGACCTGGTGACCTGACCTTAACCCGCGCCCCGTTGGGCTCTGCCAAGCCCCGTTGGGGGGGGGGGGCATTTTGGCCCCCCCCCCTAAGATCTCGAGAACCACGCAACCTAGCGACAAACGGCAAACGGTGTTGGATCATCAGGGAACTACCTTGTTATCTGTTATCAGGGAACTACCTTGTGACCCAATTTTATTGACCCAGGTCAAACCGATGACGTCACAGGTCAGGTCAAAGGTCGAATTTTCACCGTTTACAGGCATTTCAAGAAATGCGTTGTAAAATCGAGTAAAATGCATTTTATTGAAAATCATCGATGGGGAAATATTCTTCAAACACATATTTTGCTATTTGAGGTCACTGATACCAGGTCAGGTCACAGAGGTCAGGTCACTGGGGGTTACAATATGAAAGTGTCGTGTCATACATGTTTTATGGCCCATTTTACATGGCAAATGCGATTATGTGGGTCAGGCAGCCTTTGGGGCCAGCTTAGGTCACGTTTTGGTCAAGGTCAGGTCAAGGTCAGGTCAAGGTCAGGTCAAGGTCAGGTCAAGGTCAGGTCAAATTAGGTCAAATTTCAAAGTTAATATTTTTGCATAAAATGGGTATCGAATCGATGCAGCTCGTCACGGGGAGTTCAATGGTAGTCTTTGTTTTGCCGTACGTCGTCTAGAATCGCTAAAAATTGAGTTCGAAAATTTGACGTCATCATTTTTGAACAGTTTTTTCGCTATAACTTGGCCAAAAAACGAGATATCGATCTGAAATTTGATATGTATATAGAAGAGCGCAGGGACTATTACATATTTTCCGTTTGTTTCTAAATTCGGAAAATTTTGGATTTTTTTTAGTTTTTCTAAAAAAATCAATTTTTGAATTTTTTGGGGGTCAAAAACCCAAAATTTTGAAAATCCGAGGTAGGAGTTTTGTAGCGCCGCTTTTTGTGTACTAGACCATATAAAGAACTTTGAAATTGCTTGATAACTGTAGATTTGGTGAGCGTTTCAAGATTGCATGTTTTTTGCTCATTTTTGCTCGAGCATGACCTCAGTTTGACCTCAATAACCCGGCCGGGCCCGGGGGGTAATCCCAACCACCGCAGCCCGGGGGGGGGCGTTTTCGCCCCCCCCTGTCTAACTCCGTAAATAAGGGAGCTACGGAAACAAAAGCGATACCAAACGAAAGGTCCTTACGAGACGATTCTAATGCACCTAAAATTTTTGACCTCAGGTCAATTTTCAAGGTCAGAGGTCAAGGTCAAAGGCCAAAACCGGCACATGTGTAGTGATCTCAATATAAGCCTTCTAGAGGACGGCAGGCTGCATCAAACCGAAAAAATTGGGTGTCAAACGAAAGAAGAGAATCTGAGGATTCTGAAAATGTGCTCTAAATTAAAGGTCAAGGTCAAGGTCACGCTCAAAATTGACCTCAAACTTGGCACTTTTTCGCACATCTTGCGTGCTAAGTTCTAAGATGTTTTGAAATGTTTTGAGGCTTATCAGTTCCCTATTTGTGGTTCATCTTACGATACAAGGCTGCTCAAAGGTCAAGTTCACAGAAGAGTATCCCTGCTAGAGGCTCTTTCACTGATTCAAGTTAGTAATAATAAATAAGACAATTTTGCCATCCGGAAGCTCTAAATGAAGGCTTAGAGGAAAATAGATGCCAGATTCGTGATCAGCGGGTACAAATCCATCATAAACGACCTTTCATGTGTCAAGGTCAACCAGAGGTCATTCGAGGTCACATGAGGTCAACATGAAACTTGACCTTTTCCGAACAAAATATATATCATTCGACGCGGCTTGACAAGGCGAATGCGATGGTACCACTACTGCCGTAGCTCTAGGACCACATTTGTCGAAGTTATTTGCGAAAAACTAAAACCACATTTCGGGGTCGTTGACCTGACCTCTGACCTCAGGTCACCAAAACTATTTTTCTATTTTTTCTAGGTCAAACGCTACACAGCCGTGCTCGTAATTTGTCTTTATCTCTAAAACTCTATTTTTAGCAGCTATTTGAAGTTTGCGTCTGTGACGCCGAAGTTTGCCGTGCAGGGGTCTAGAGAAATGGACGTTGTGACGTCATCAAGGGGGCTAGGTCCAAATTTTTCACTTCAGAAGATGTCAATTGATGGGAGAAAAGGTACTGAAAGTTTCGCCTTCCTATCCCTAAGCGTTCGGGAGTTATCGCAAATATTCGCCAGGGGGGCGAAAAACGCCCCCCGGCCCGCGAGGGATAACTCCTGACCTAAGGTGACCTAAGACTTGAAATTTGGTGTGAAGGTGTCAAATTGATGCCCGGGAAGGTACTGAAAATTTGGCGGCGCTACCACAGGGGGGGGCCAAAATGCCCCCTAGGGTGCGTCAAAAAACAAATTTGTTCGATGGAACTTGAGCATTTTATTTTTCGGGTTACTTTTAGCATGACTATTAACTGTGTGGAGTTTGGTGTTTTTTCTCCTTCATTTACCACTGCCTCAAGACACTCCCGACAGGAGTGCAATTTCCCATTGGCTTGGAGTTCGAAGATTTTCGTGGACTTCTTCAGAACACGATGGCAACATATCAACCAGCAAGACTTCCGGCCTTGCGACAACCCCAAGGAAAAGGTTTGGAAAGCAGGCGCAGTCGTGTTCTGCGTGCGCGCTCTCCAGGCCGGCAAGTTCTTGCCACGGAACGACTACCGAGAATGCCTTCAGCTGTGTTCTCTTCCTCGGCGAATTTCCTCCCGGTGATGTGACGGGGGTCGACCACCACGCTCGTTGGATGTCGAAGGTCATATGCAGTGATACACCCTTAACCCTATTCCTGGCGGGCTCCGCCGGGACAAGAAACTGGCGGGGGGGGCAGATTCGGCCCCCCCCCTGAGATCTCGAGAACGAAGCAAGATAGCGACAAGCGGTAAACGGCATCGGATACGCACGGCCAAGATCTACAATTTTTACTAAGGTCATTTTCAGGTCAGGTCAAAGATGACGTCACAGGGGTCGAAAAAGTCAAAATGGCGGCGCTAGATATGGAGAGAGTTTTTCTCGAATAACTTTCGAATTAGTCAAGATAGGGACAAACTAAGGGCATCATCGTGATCCTCTCGTCAATCCGCATCGAATGATATATATGTTGACCTCGAAAGGTCAAGGTCAAAGGTTGACCT